AGGGGAAAAAGTCAGCATCTGGTGGGACAGCCATTTCTGTCATTAAGTGTGACACATACGTATAGTTGCTCAGGCTGATTGTGGAACGTTTTTTCCGCTCGTTAACGGCTGTGCGACGTTCCTGGATATTGGCAGGAAATGGAACATTGTTGTACACCGATCCAGAGCTTCCCAAACATTTAATTGGTGACATGTCTGTGTATGCAGGCCATGGAAGAACTGGGATGTTGTCAGCTTCTTGGAATTGTGTAGAGATCCTTGCAACATGGGGCTGTGCGTTATGCTGAAAAATGAGGTGATTTAAACACTTACAATGGATAGCTAAAACGGTCAAGAATGGCTACAGACCTATGTTGAGACTGACGGGAACATCCGGTTTTTAAATTAAAGCTCCAGGCAGCCTCTCCTTTTTAACAAATTCTCAAGGTCACCCCCTCTCCTAGGGAGGGTGACGTGTTCGATGCCAGTACAGCTAAGGGACGAAATAGTGGTTTGCTTCCTAAATTCGAGCCAATGACTTACGTAGTTGAACGTGAAAGTGACAAACTGACACTGTCATTTTCGTAAACAACTTTATGAAGGAGTGCCTTTGACGGCCCTCACATGCGCGGTTCCGAGCGAGACAACCATTTGACCCGTTTTAAGTGTTTCTGCTCATGAGTTTAGCTAGCATATGTCGCAATGTCATCCCCTACAAATGTGTTGGGGGTTTCTAATGGAGAAGCAGTTTCTGCCCATCTTTATATTGAAGGCTCTAGGCAACAGCTCGCTTAGTGTACTAGGGGGTAACTAGCCCCCTAGTACACTATGTAAATGGCTAAAGTTCACACTTCATGGTAAAAGTACCGGGGTAACTGTTCCCCCGCCCCAATGGAGTAACTGACCAACGGAGGGTTTCTGTTACCCCGGTAGAAGATTATGGGATAGGGTTTCTCACAAGTGTGTTAAAACCCATTTAATCTGTTTTCTTTAATAAGTAATACTTCAAATGTAAGTCTAGATGTCTTATTTTAAATAAAATATGGGGAGGAAATGGTGTTGCACATGTCACCTATAATATCTGCACTATGAAAATATTTGATGTAAAGTCCCTCTTTAACTCACCTGTACATTAATTTTCTGCTTGCTTTTTCCATATAATCCATTATGTACAATTGCACTAAACATGATTTGAATAATGCAAGATTTTAAATCCCAGCAGTCTTTAAAATGACATTCAGGAAGAAAAAGTTTTTAATAGTTTTTAATTAATTAAAACAATTATTCATTGGAATGGAATATACTGTGCATTCGGAAAGTATTCAGACCCCATCCCTTTTTCCATATTTTGTTACGTTACAGCCTTATTCTTAAATGGATTAAATTAATTGTTTTCCTCATCAATGCAAACACAATGTCCCATCATGACAAAGCGAAAACAGGTTTTTAGAAATGTTTGCAAATGTGTACAAAAATAACCCCCCCCAAAAACACTTATTTACATAAGTATTCAGACCTTTTGCTATGAGACTCAAAATTGAGCTCCGGTGCATCCTGTTTCCATTGCTCATCCTTGAGCTATTTTCTATAACTTGATTGGTGTCCACCTGTGGTAAATTCAATTGATTGGACATGATTTGGAAAGGCACACACCTGTCTAAACAGTTGACAGTGCATGTCAGAGCAAAAACCAAACCATGAGGTTGAGGGAATTGTCCGTAGAGCTTCGAGACAGGATTGTGTCGAGGCACAGATCTGGGGAAGGGTACCAAAACATTTCTGCAGCTTTGAAGGTCCCCATGAACACAGTGGACTCCATCATTCTTAAATGGAAGAAGTTTGGAACCACCAAGACTCTTCCTAGAGCTAGCAGCCAGGCCAAACTCAGCAATCGGGGGAGAACAGCTCGCATAGTGTACTAGGGGGTAACTAGTTGCTGACACAAAGCAATGTTTGGAAAAAAATGTTATGTGGATGAAGGTCATGCTTACGAGAATAAACTATACAGGGAAATAAATGGCTACAGTTCACACTTCATGAAATGTTTTTAGAAAAGGGGCATTTTTTTAAAGTACCGGGGTAACTGTCCCCCCAACCCCAATGGGGTAACTGGTCACTCTTACAGAGCTCCAGTGTTCATCTGTGGAGATGGGAGAACCTTCCAGAAGGATAGCCATCTCTGCAGCACTCCACCAATCAGGCCTTTATGGTAGAGTGCCCAGATGAAAGCCACTCCTCAGTAAAAGGCACATGACAGCCCGCTTGGAGTTTGCCAAAAGGCTCCTAAAGGACTCTCAGACCATTCGAAACAAGATTCTCTGGTCTGATGAAACCAAGATTGAACTCTTTGGCCTGAATGCCAATCTTCACGTCTGGAGGAAACCTGGCACCATCCCTAAGATGAAGCATGGTGGTGGCAGCATCATGCTGTGGGAATGTTTTTCAGCGGCAGGGACTGGGAGACTAGTCAGGATAGAGGGAAAGATGAACTGAGCAAAGTACAGAGAGATCCTTGATGAAAACCTGCTCAAGATGGCTCAGGACCTCAGACTGGGGGCGAAGGTTCACCTTCCAACAGAACAACGACACTAAGCACACAGCCAAGACAACGCAGGAATGGCTTCAGGATAAGTCTCTGAATGTCCTTGAGTGGCCCAGCCAGAGCCCGGACTTGAACCCGATCGAACATCTCTGGAGAGACCTGAAAATAGCTGTGCAGCGAAGCTCCCCATCCAACCTGACAGAGCTTGAGAGGATCTGCAGAGAAGAATGGGAGAAACTCCGCAAATACAGGGTTGCAGAGCTTTTAGCGTCATACCCAAGAAGACTTGAGGCTGTAATCGCTGCCAAAGGTGCTTCAACAAAGTATTGATTGAAGGGTTTCAATACTTATGTGATATTTTTTAATAAATTAGAAAACATTTCTATAAACCAGTTTTTTCTTTGTCATTATGGGGTATTGTGTGTATACTGATGAGGGGGGGAAAACAATTTCATCAATTTTAGAATAAGGCTGTAACGTAACAAAATGTGGAAAAAGTCAATGGGTCTGAATACTTTCCGAATGCAGTGTAACTGATAACATTAAATAACATTGGAATATAACATTTAAAAAACAATAACTCATAACTTAACAAATTATTTCAGTCTAACAATGATGTGGCAACTCTCTTATTATCTGCTATTAAACAATTCTAATTCAAATAAAATAAATTTTTATTGGCAACATGCACCAAATACAACAGGTGCAGACATTACAGTGAAATGCTTACTTACAGCCCTTAACCAACAGTGCATTTTTTATTTATTTATAAAAAAGTAAAATAAAACAACAAAAAAGTGTTGAGAAAAAAAGAGCAGAAGTAAAATAAAATAACAGTAGGGAGGCTATATATATATACAGGGGGGTACCGGTGCAGAGTCAATGTGCGGGGGCACCTGCTAGTTGACGTAGTTGAAGTAATATGTACATGTGGGTAGAGTTAAAGTGACTATGCATAAATAAATTAACAGAGTAGCAGCAGCGTAAAAAGATGGGGTGGGTTGTGGGGGGGCAGAGTAAATAGTCTGGGTAGCCATGATTAGCTGTTCAGGAGTCTTATTGAGAAGTATTTTGGAAGTATTGTTGAGAAGTATTTTGGACCTAGACTTGGCGCTCCGGTACCGCTTGCCGTGCGGTAGCAGAGAGAACAGTCTATGACTAGGGTGGCTGGAGTCTTTGAGTTCTTTATCTTATATAAAAGTAGTAATTCTCTTTAGTTACCTTTTTTCCAATGTAATTTTGTATCATAATTGTGACATTATGCACTATATGAAAAGCTGCATTTCGTATCAGTAGCTAGGTTTCCATCCAATTGACAACAGATTTTCATGTAATATTCTAAAATCCGTTAAAAGAAATATCCGCATTTTCACACATTCTCCTGTTTCTGTCAAATTGACTTGTTGCAGATAAAAGGCTGTGCGTGACAACGGAGTGCACACGAAATACATTTTGCGGTTAAATTTCCATGTACCTAATAAAAAATACAAGTTCAATGGGTTTCCATAGCATTTTCAACTCTACTGATGGTTTTCTCACCCCCGCAAAAATGCGTTATAGCGTGTGCACACTCTGGGATTGGCACGTGCGCTGTAACCAACAGCGCTATCTGCGCGCTTTTGGCTAGAGCGCACATACAGCCTACACATGATGAGGTTATTAGCCTATTATTGTCAAAAGAGCGAGATTATTTTTATTTGTCAAATGGCAGCCAAGAATCGATTATCATTTCACCAGAATAAGACCCTTGATATTTCGTGGAAAGGAGCATCAAGCTCATCGCCTGTGAAGTTCATCATAATTTTTTTCATCTGTAACCTAATGAATCCCGATGAGTTTTAGTGGGGAGGACTACACAACATGTCATCGCGTGGCTCGAAGTCTACTTCCATATGATGGTTATTATATCAATATGTGCGCATAATAACCGACATTTTTTAGCATCATTCATTTTACCTCATCTAGAGCATTTTGTTTTGTCGACATTTGTAAAGTTTACCGAAAAAATGTAATGTTCTGTTTCCATCAGACATTTTTTATTCGAAATGTACTTTACTTGCATGAAATGTTGGATGGAAACCTGGTTATATGGACAGCATATTCCCCTATTCACCTCTCCACACACACCAAACGGGAGAAAACGTACCTCAAAGGCAAACTGTTGAAGAACGGTGCCAACCGTTTTGAGGAAACGTGTCGTTTAGTAGCGCTACAAACCATCACGCAAATTAGCAAACGTTGAAGCGAAATGCATGCACCCCAGGTATGTTTGACAAGAGCTGATAATCAGAGAAGGGGACTGGCTGTAGCTAAATGGCGGGAAACAACGCAATGGCGTCTCCTTTCTCTGATTATCAGCTGTTGTCAAACACACCTGGGTCTAAATGTATTTAGTTTCACATACTATAAAACGTATTTTCGCATACCCGAAAAGCCTACTAACTATTTAGGACGCAAGCACGGGTATTCGGACAAGGGCAGTGAGTGTGTCAGAATCTTAGCGGCGCTCCGTGGCGAGATAGCTGTTTGTTTGACCTGGAGTTTTTGTCTCTGAGCTGGTTGAGTTCTCAGGGTCTATCTGTGGGTGACAGACAGGATGATCCTTCTACTCCTCTCCCTGCTCCTGACTTGGACTCCAGTGATCGGGGCACAGCCGGACATCCATATGCCCTTCATGGAGCACCTTGACGTGGACAACAATGTCATCCTGAAGTGGGGGTTCAGCGAGGTCCAGGGCACCATCACGTTCCAGCTGACCTTCAAGACCACTGGCTGGGTGGGATTCGGGTTCAGCCCAAATGGAGACATGGCTGGAGCAGATATCGTTATTGGAGGGGTCGGACCAAAAGCCAACTACTTCAAGGTATCTAAACCATTAACCTGTAATCGTTACAATTAGACAAGTATCAGTGGTAATGTAGTACTTATTGTAGAAGTAGGTCTATATATGATCCTGCGTCCTAGCTTTTAGTTAGAGGTAGTTATATTGTAGGTCTTAGGAATAGGCTACTGTGACAGTGTAGTGGTTTTCAACACCTCAAACATTTGGCAAACTACATGTGAATGTGTTGCACCTGGTCAAGTTTTAGAGAAGAGCTGAACTCTATATAACATTTTTAAGTATAACTAGAAAAGGTTTTATGGTTGTGGTCAGTATACAAGCACACTATTCCAGATCGGTTTGCATGTTAGTTTAAATGGGGTTTCTAGCTGAAACAGTTGACGACTAGTAAGAAGGCTGCTTTTATGTAGGCTGCTCAATTATGATATTTTTTCACTAATCGGTCATGTGACTGATCAGAACTTCTGAAGAAGATCTGGGAAAATCTGATTGGAAAATATTTTTAAATTGGGCTTCCTTTGTAAAGAAAGCTGTAGTGACCAGAATTCCCCACATCCATGTCCCTGGCACGCACTGGGAGTCATGCAAATATGGTTGTAGTGTGACCAGTATTAGTGTCAGTTTCTTCAAGCAACCTGACCAGTGGCAGTCTGGACTTTCTGGTGTTGATAGCTTATGGTTCTGGTGCTACAGGTGGTGGCAGCAGCATAATAGTGATGATGAACAGTTTCTAAAGTTGTGCTTTCACCAAGCACACCTAATAAAACCAGTCTAGTAGGCTCTAGAAATACTCCAGATAACATCAGTATTTTTGTTGTATTTCCTTCAGGATTATCATGCCACAAGCAACGGATTTCCCTTGGTGGATGAGAAACAGGACTACACCCTCCTGTCCCTGACCGAGGCAGACGGTCAAACCACCATGACCTTCTGGAGGGCCATCCAGTCATGTGACAAGGATGACTTCCGCATTACCGTGAGTTAAGTTGGTGAAACCCTGAGCTAGACCATCTGTCATTTATATCCACTTACTAGTTATTTTATTGAGTAGTTCACCACAAACTGCATAAACATGGAGGCTTTTGTAACCCTACGTGGTTCTCGGAGATGAACAAACGTAGCATTTAAAAAGGCATTATTAAAGACTATGGAGTCATAACGTCAATGACAACATTATGTTGGATATGGTTCCCCAACTGGTGGCCCGCAGGGTGAATTTGGACCGCGGCTGGTTTTATTTGGCCTCCGACGTTATCAGAGGGAACAATTTTCATTGTTGGACATAAGACTGTAAACACTGGGAAATCCGCTGCAAGTGACTTTAATTTAATAAATCTGTTCAAGTATTCCCACGGCGTAGACTCATGTGATCGTATACAAATGTAAGCAAGGCTTGAAACGGCCGCCGATCATCCGCTCAAGAGAGAAATCGGCCCTTGAATCTTGTTGATGGCTGATATAGGCCCTACTTAGTGCCTACTAGGACTTTTCTAAACGCAGTCCTTAACCTGTTTTTTTTTCTTCTGTTCTCTTGTATGTTTTGTTCGATCCCCATCATAGGACGGTCCATTGAAGCTGATCTATGCCTACGGGAAAACGGATGACATCGGCTACCATGGCAAAAGTAGGGGGACCAAGGAGGTGAACCTCCTCAACATGCCTAGCTTCAGCATCTCTGGCACCAGTCCCCCACGCGCAATAGAAAAGTGTCAATAATCTGTATTCATGATATATGAAAATGTCAATAAATTTAAGGAATAATTCACTCAACTACTCCTTCCTATGCGTAAAATGTTATGTCTTACCATGTTTGAACGCTTGGTGATGAAATGTTTCATCTTGGACTGGAAGCAAAATGTGAAAATCCAATGACTTTACTCTGAACAGAAATATGTAACAATTTCAAAGATTTTGCTGAGTTGTAAGGAAATCAGTCAATTGAAATAAATTAATCAGGCCCTAATCTATGGATTTCACATGACTGGGAATACAGATGTGCATCTGTTGGTCAGATACCTTAAGATAGGGGTGTGGTGCAGGGGAAAAAGTCAGCATCTGGTGGGACAGCCATTTCCGTCATTAAGTGTGACACACACGTATAGTTGCTCAGGCTGATTGTGGAACGTTTTTTTCCGCTCGTCAACGGCTGTGCGACGTTCCTGGATATTGGCAGGAAATTGAACATTGTTGTACACCGATCCAGAGCTTCTCAAACATTTAATTGGTGACATGTCTGTGTATGCAGGCCATGGAAGAACTGGGATGTTGTCAGCTTCTTGGAATTGTGTAGAGATCCTTGCAACATGGGGCTGTGCGTTATGCTGAAAAATGAGGTGATTTAAACACTTACAATGGATAGCTAGAATGGCTACAGACCTATGTTGAGACTGACGGGAACATCCGGTTTTTAAATTAAAGCTCCAGGCAGCCTCTCCTTTTTAACAAATTCTCAAGGTCACCCCCTCTCCTAGGGAGGGTGACGTGTTCGATGCCAGTACAGCTAAGGGACGAAATAGTAGTTTGCTTCCTAAATTCGAGCCAATGACTTACGTAGTTGAACGTGAAAGTGACAAACTGACACTGTCATTTTCGTAAACAACGTTATGAAGGAGTGCCTTTGACGGCCCTCACATGCGCGGTTCCGAGCGAGAAAACCATTTGACCCGATTTAAGTGTTTCTGCTCATGAGTTTAGCAAGCATATGTCGCAATGTCATCCCCTACAAATGTGTTGGGGGTTTCTAATGGAGAAGCAGTTTCTGCCCATCTTTATATTGAAGGCTCTAGCCAACAGCTCGCTTAGTGTACTAGGGGGTAACTAGCCCCCTAGTACACTATGTAAATGGATAAAGTTCACACTTCATGGTAAAAGTACCGGGGTAACTGTTCCCCCGCCCCAATGGAGTAACTGACCAACGGAGGGTTTCTGTTACCCCGGTAGAAGATTATGGGATAGGGTTTCTCACAAGTGTGTTAAAACCCATTTAATCTGTTTTCTTTAATAAGTAATACTTAAAATGTAAGTCTAGATGTCTTAATTTAAATAAAATATGGGGAGAAAATGGTGTTGCACATGTCACCTATAATATCTGCACTATGAAAAGATTTGATGTAATGTCCCTCTTTTTAACTCACCTGTACATTACATTTCTGCTTGCTTTTTCCATATAATCCATTATGTACAATTGCACTAAACATGATTTGAATAATGCAATATTTTAAATCCCAGCAGTCTTTAAAATGACATTCAGGAAGAAAAAGTTAATAGTTTTTAATTAAAACAATTATTCATTGGAATGGAATATACAGTGCATTCGGAAAGTATTCAGACCCCATCCCTTTTTCCATATTTTGTTATGTTACAGCCTTATTCTTAAATGGATTAAATTAATTGTTTTCCTCATCAATGCAAACACAATGTCCCATAATGACAAAGCGAAAACAGGTTTTTAGAAATGTTTGCAAATGTGTACAAAAATAACCCCCCCAAAAAACACTTATTTACATAAGTATTCAGACCTTTTGCTATGAGACTCAAAATTGAGCTCTGGTGCATCCTGTTTCCATTGCTCATCCTTGAGCTGTTTTCTATAACTTGATTGGTGTCCACCTGTGGTAAATTAAATTGATTGGACATGATTTGGAAAGGCACACACCTGTCTAAACAGTTGACAGTGCATGTCAGAGCAAAAACCAAACCATGAGGTTGAGGGAATTGTCCGTAGAGCTTCGAGACAGGATTGTGTCGAGGCACAGATCTGGGGAAGGGTACCAAAACATTTCTGCAGCTTTGAAGGTCCCCAAGAACATAGTGGACTCCATCATTCTTAAATGGAAGAAGTTTGGAACCACCAAGACTCTTCCTAGAGCTAGCAGCCAGGCCAAACTCAGCAATCGGGGGAGAACAGCTCGCATAGTGTACTAGGGGGTAACTAGCCCCCCCTAAGAACTGTCTAGTTGCTGACACAAAGCAATGTTTGGAAAAAAATGTTATGTGGATGAAGGTCATGCTTACGCGAATAAACTATAAAGGGAAATAAATGGCTACAGTTCACACTTCATGAAATGTTTTTAGAAAAGGGGCATTTTTTTAAAGGACCGGGGTAACTGTCCCCCCAACCCCAATGGGGTAACTGGTCACTCTTACAGAGCTCCAGTGTTCATCTGTGGAGATGGGAGAACCTTCTAGAAGGATAGCCATCTCTGCAGCACTCCACCAATCAGGCCTTTATGGTAGAGTGCCCAGACAAAAGCCACTCCTCAGTATAAGGCACATGACAGCCCGCTTGGAGTTTGCCAAAAGGCTCCTAAAGGACTCTCAGACCATTCGAAATAAGATTCTCTGGTCTGATGAAACCAAGATTGAACTCTTTGGCCTGAATGCCAATCTTCACGTCTGGAGGAAACCTGGCACCATCCCTACGATGAAGCATGGTGGTGGCAGCATCATGCTGTAGGAATGTTTTTCAGCGGCAGGGACTGGGAGACTAGTCAGGATAGAGGGAAAGATGAACTGAGCAAAGTACAGAGAGATCCTTGATGAAAACCTGCTCAAGATGGCTCAGGACCTCAGACTGGGGGTGAAGGTTCACCTTCCAACAGAACAACGACACTAAGCACACAGCCAAGACAACGCAGGAATGGCTTCAGGACAAGTCTCTGAATGTCCTTGAGTGGCCCAGCCAGAGCCCGGACGATCGAACATCTCTGGAGAGACCTGAAAATAGCTGTGCAGCGAAGCTCCCCATCCAACCTGACAGAGCTTGAGAAGATCTGCAGAGAATAATGGGAGAAACTCCGCAAATCCAGGTGTGCAGAGCTTTTAGCGTCATACCCAAGAAGACTCTAGGTTGTAATCGCTGCCAAAGGTGCTTCAACAAAGTATTGATTGAAGGGTTTGAATACTTATGTGATATTTTAATAAATTAGAAAACATTTCTATAAACCAGTTTTTTCTTTGTCAATATGGGGTATTGTGTGTATATTGATGAGGGGGGGAAAACAATTTAATAAATTTTAGAATAAGGCTGTAACGTAACAAAATGTGGAAAAAGTAAATGGGTCTGAATACTTTCCGAATGCAGTGTAACTGATAACATTAAATAACATTGGAATATAACATTTAAAAAACAATAACTCATAACTTAACAAATTAATTCAGTGTAACAATGATGTGGCAACTCTCTTATTATCTGCTATTGCACAATTCTAATTCAAATAAAATTAAATTTTATTGTCAACATGCACCAAATACAACAGGTGCAGACATTACAGTAGCAGAGAGAACAGTCTATGACTAGGGTGGCTGGAGTCTTTGACAATTTTGAGGGCCTTCCTCTGACACCGCCTGGTATAGAGGTCCTGGATGGCAGGAAGCTTGGCCCCAGTGATGTACTGGGCCGTACGCACTACTCTCTGTAGTGCCTTGCGGTCGGAGGCCAAGCAGTTGCCATACCAGGCGGTGATGCAACCAGTCAGGATGCTCTCGATGATGCAGCTGTAGAATTTTTTGAGGATCTGAGGACCCATGCCAAATCTTTTCAGTTGCCTGAGGGGGAATAGGCTTTGTCGTGCCCTCTTCACGACTGTCTTGGTGTGTTTGGACCATGATAGTTTGTTGGTGATGTGGACACCAAGGAACTTGAAGCTCTCAACCTGTTCCACTACAGCCCCGTCGATGAGAATGGGGGCGTGCTCAGTCCTCTTTTTTTTCCTGTAGTCCACAATCATCTCCTTTGTCCTGGTCACGTTGAGGGAGAGGTTGTTGTTCTGGCACCACATGGCCAGGTCTCTGACCTGCTCACTATAGGCTGTCTCATCGTTGTCGGTGATCAGGCCTACGACTGTTGTGTCGTCGGCAAACTTAATGATGGTGTTGGAGTCGTGCCTGGCCATGCAGTCATGGGTGAACAGAGAGTACAGGAGGGGACTGAGCACGCACCCTTGAGGGGCCCCCGTGTTGAGGATCAGTGAGGCAGATGTGTTGTTACCTACCCTTACCACCTGGGGGCGGCCCGTCAGGAAGTCCAGGATCCAGTTGCAGAGGGAGGTGTTTAGTCCCAGGATCCTTAGCTTAGTGATGAGCTTAGAGGGCACTATGGTGTTGAATGCTGAGCTGTAGTCAATGAATAGCATTCTCACGTAGGTGTTCCTCTTGTCCAGGTGGGAAAGGGCAGTGTGGAGTGCAATAGAGATTGCATCATCTGTGGATCTGTTGGGGCGGTATGCAAATTGGAGTGGGTCTAGTGTTTCTGGGATAATGCTGTTGATGTGAGCCATGACCAGCCTTTCAAAGCACTTCATGGCTACAGACGTCAGTGCTACGGGTCGGTAGTCATTTAGGCAGGTTATCTTAGAGTCCTTGGGCACGGGGACTATGGTGTTCTGCTTGAAACATGTTGGTATTACATACTCAGTCAGGGACATGTTGAAAATGTCAGTGAAGACACTTGCCAGTTGGTCAACACATGCTCGGAGTACACGTCCTGGTAATCCGTCTGGCCCTGCGGCCTTGTGAATGTTGACCTGCTTAAAAGTCTTACTCACATCGGCTACGGAGAGCGTGATCACATAGTCATCCGGAACAGCTGGTGCTCTCATGCATGCTTCAGTGTTGCTTGCCTCGAAGCGAGCATAGAAGTGGTTTAGCTCGTCTGGTAGGCTTGTCACTGGGCAGCTCGCGGCTGTGCTTCCCTTTGTAGTCTGTAATAGTTTTCAAGCCCTGCCACATCCGACGAGTGTCAGAGCCAGTGTAGTACGATTCAATCTTAGTCCTGTATTGACTCTTTGCCTGTTTGATGGTTCGTCAGAGGGCATAGCGGGATTTCTTATAAGCGTCCGGGTTAGAGTCCCGTTCCTTGAAAGCGGCAGCTCTACCCTTTAGCTCAGTGCGGATGTTTCCTGTAATCCATGGCTTCTG